CCTATCTGCAACACAGGTAGTTGGCCTAACCAACTGTACAGAGAGATGGACTCTGGAAGCCATTGGTACTTCTACAATCTCATCATTCTTGAAATCCTTTCTGCAAACCCCATGAATGAAGGCAACTCCACAGTTGTGCCGTCTAGTGCACCACGCACCTAGTCCCATGAGCTCAAAGACTTTTTTGACAGTGCATGGTTCATCACAGGCGATGGCTTGCCTTAACAGAGGTGGCTGCAATGCATGCTCAACCACTAGATACAGTGGCCCAGAGGACAAATCAACCAGCGGAGTGACTAAAAACATGTGACTTATCACACTACTGCCGACCTCTGCAGGGACTTGAGGAATGACGGTATACAGGAGACTGTCTGCTAAACCCGCCCCCCTCATCAAGCTTGCCACTTGCAAGGACCAAGGGCTATTATGATTAAGTCCCCAATGGAAAGGATCACCTTTGCACTGCCTAGGCGCACGAAACAACCAACCAAACATCGACTGCATCTCCATGGTCAACCCCTGTGTTTGCAACTGGGCTTGCACAACATCAAAATGCCTATTCGTCCAAATCCAGTGCAGCTCCCCGTATTGGAGCCGAACAGGCGTGACCCATGATAATCGATGACTGGCACTGTAGAGCAGGTTGGAAAGCGATGCCGATGAACGACCATCATCTATTTTCCACCTAGTGAATTGCTGCATGCCGGAAAAACTATCCCCTTCAGCAGCCAGATCAACACTAACATCGTCAGCTCTACTTTGACCAAGTATGTCATTGACCTGTGAATCTGTCTCGGTATCACTTGCATTCGCACACCAATTGTTTGGCGTCTCTTTTTCAACGCGATAAGGCTGGATAACCGAGCCATCCGGAAGGTCAAGGTGGTCAACCCAGTTCCATATAGATAACTGCTCGTCAACTAGCCAACAATCATCTTGATCACTACATCTATTGTTTGGCATGATCTTTTGAAACACTGTCTGCACAGTGGCATCTTCCCATGCAGGACAAAGAACAATGGTCCCATATTCTCGTCGAAACTGCCTTTCAAACTCAACTAGATATGTGACACACCTATCCTCGATGGGCCTTGCCACATACCAATTGGCTTCTTCATCCGGGTGCACCCTTTTAACCGGGGTGAGTACCAACTGTCGAGCTTGGAGTTCGTGACGAAATGCATACTCAACTTGACAAAACATGCAGTCTCCGCTACGTTTGTGAAGATGTCTATGGTTTTTCCTTAGGACCTGTCGATGCTCTATGTCGTGCCACCAGACCTTGAAGGACCATTGATGACTCAATGGCCGACGAGCAGTTAACTCAAACGCCAACACATTTTGCCTTACATGATTGCAAGCTGCACCCTGCTGGACAAGCGACATACTATCACATTCTTCGTCAACTTCTTCGGTGCGAACTTCAGATGTCGGCGCAGGCATAATGTCAATGGCGAACTTCATGCCCTCTTGGACATACCAGGTCTGCCTACGGCATAATTGTGAGTCATAGCTGATTTCACAAACAACTGCTACATGCTGACACAACACGTCAACTCCTGCTAGAACCAACAGGAGATCACATTGCAAAAGCCGTGCAACCTGAACTGGTACTCTTTCAACGTGGTATCCATCTTCTAACATTGTCCATACCACGATGAGAATTGGAACCATCTCAGTGTGTCCTTCCACTGCTCCCACCATATAGATCACATCGGCATGATCGGACTCTCGAGGAGTCACTTGAGGGAAGACATGAGCTGCTAGGAACACACTTTCAATGTCAGCATCATCCCACATCTCAAACCTCAATTGACTCACAAGGTCCTGAAGATCAAAGATTGGCAGGTGGCAAGGCCACGCCCAAGAATGTTCAAGCCCCGAAGTGGCATGCCCCAATGTGAAAGTGACCACATCTGCTCCTGTCCGACAAATTGCCATTGACTCTTGCTGCATCGCTGCAAAGTCCACTATATTGGTCGTTCTGGAAACAAATGTCTGGAAGTCAGCCCAATGCACTTCTGGTGGCGCAGTCTGTATCAGGCGGCGACTCCACACCCTATGCTGCAGCAGGTCTCGAGTAAACATCCCAGAACCGGAAGCTGCAAATCTCTGCATGAAGCTAGTTCCTTCCTGTTCTCAACTTCCAACTGCCATTGAATCGTCCGAGGTTGCAGTGTTTCCCTCGATCTGTTGAATACCCATGCTGGCTGGCCTGTTGCTGGGCGCCTGCCTTTCGGTATTCAAACATTGTTCCTTGTCTTTTCATAGTACAAGGTCCAAATAAGAGAAGTCGGGAACACTAATTTCCTGATCAGATCGGAAGATCATTCTCTGTGCACCATTCTTGAGTGAAAAGATCACTACTGTGGACTTTGCATGGTACATCAACTGGTCGATCTGCAACATCAAACCAATTTCATACACGGTGGCCGTTCTAGGACACCTAATTGCCCTTCTGGCTACAAATGTTCGACCTGAAGCAACGCCAATATCATCGGTTTGCCAAATGTCAAACAAATGCATCATTTGGTCATGCGGAACCTTACGATTTTCAAAAGCCAAGACATGAAGCTGTACTGGCTCTAGATTATCGATCCTGGGAGGCTGCGGCATAACTGCTGCCACACGAGGCACCCGGAAGTCGTCGGTCACTTTCCAATAAGCACGAAAAGCTTTAGACCAATTGTCCTCATGCAACAGGACCCTATCACAGTCATATACTATTGGCAGTGCAAAGTGAAACCTCCACACAGCTAGCATAATGATCTCTTGCTCAGGCTCAATCAATTGAGCATCCCGAATCCATTGTCGCAGCTGATCTGCACGCACGAAATTCGGTGTTGCAAAGTTGACAACTGGTTGAAGGGATTGTTGATTGCGACTGGCCTGTAAGACTCTGGCCCACTGGAAGTGCACATTCGCTCCGTCTATATTCCTCGGGGTTGCAGTGTTTGCCCCATCCATTGCTCCACCATGGCTTCCCGTTGTACTACTCGTTCCCATTCCGACTGGCTCGGTCAACGTTCTCTGCATTAACATGACCTGATCATTACTCTCATCTCCGACATTCGACAAACTACCATGGTCACGTCGGGTTGCAGTGTTCTCCCGACCCTGATGCAAACCCTCATTGCCATCACTGGAATCACGATCTTCACTATGGATCGATCCGCAGGAACTTGCTGCCAGCTGTAACGAACCATCCCCATGTGTCCCAATAGACGAACATGTGCTGTTGGAACTGGAGCCTAACTCTTGTAGTTCCCTCAGGAATACGTCATAGGATCTTCCATGAATAGGACGAAAAATTTGGTTCCAATGCCAAATATTGTCACCTTCACGTACAAAGCACTCATATTGATTCACACAATCACTGACTGGATCGATCTTATCAAACAGTGTCTTGACGCGGAAGTCATCCCATCCTTCACGAAAGAGAATCGTGCCAACTCGAACCTCAAAATCTCTGGTCACTCTCACCAGAATAGGGATCAAAGGAAACGCGGACCTGGTGTGCAGGATGACTTGACAGCCCCTCGTCCACCTGGCATGTAAGATGACGAGTTGCACTGCAAAGTCACGACCTTGTATCCACTCTTCGAAGTCACGAACTATGACTGAATGCACACATTGTCCTACACAGACCCTGGCGAACCTATGCTCTGAGGAGAAGCGGTTGGCAACTAGATGGCTATGTTTCCAAACCTTGACGGACAATGGTTTGTTAGTCGGGATACACTGCTGCCATCTAATGTTATCCCTTTGAGTGAACCCGACATGTGTTTGCATCAGTACAGACGAATCACTCAGCACTCCATGCCGATACCAATAACCTGTAGCGGCTTGTTCAAGTCTAGCCGCTTCACCTGGCATTGCAGTCTGAATTGCTTGGCCTCTGGGAACCAAACACACTTGGCAGTCCAAGCCTATCATGATTGGGATTTCACGTAACCCATGCTCTGCAAGCACTAAGGCGCAGCATTCTGAACTGGGTTGTGGTGTCACAGGCCACAGATTCCAACTCCCCGCGGCTAAGTCACATGCAATGAACTTCTGTGGCCACTCCACATCAACTAAGTCGTTGCGCGGGATGTGAAATTGCTGGATCCTATCTGGCGAGTGAACAACCACCGGCACAAAATCACTTTGAATGGTACCAACAATGCTGGCCCAGACAGCTTGGTTGCCTAGTTCAACTCTAGTCACCGATGACTCCTGTTGCACCCTGACTTCTTTGGAAGATTGACTGCCAGTGCCTTCGCCAGGTGAACCATTTCTAGGGTCCATCAACTGAGCATCCGTCAAAATCAGATAAATCATGAACACGATCAAGCGTACAGGGACTCGAGGCTTGCGTTGCATCACGACCTGATGCCTACTGCCCTTGACCACTACCATTCTTTTACGCCTGATGCAAGGAACACAACAGACTCTGAGAATGCGCTTGAGACCCATCAACAGACCTGCGATCACCGTTGCACAATCAAAACAAATCTTAAGGATTAGCAATTCCCATTGAACCTCATTAATCTTTCGATCATTTGCTGATGTACCCGAAAGATTGTATCTTTCAGGCCGAGATTGCGGCTCGTTACCTTGAGCGAATGTCCAGCCATGGCAGAACCACCATGTTTGGAAAATGCTGTTTTCACTCGAAAGGCAAGCCTCTACTTGTGCTCGTGTGTACGAAGAGCAGGCACTTACGGCACTACTACTAACACACAATTCCTGAAATGCACTGGACTTGGCAGACCCAGGGTGACCATCCACTAACCACCCGGAATCTTTATACCCAAGACCATCTAAACCGGTGGGAAAAAGCCGTTTACCAGGGAACCATGAAAAAGTAAACTGAAGAACTCGAACTGGCTTGCAGTCATAGTCAGCCAAAAAAGGCGCCAAATGACTCATCCCAATCCAATTCCAATTCCGACATAGAACTCGAGATGCAGTCGTGCCCAAGACCACATAGCTCTCCTCAAAAACGAACTTCTCATCTAGGCCCCTGGCTCTCCACTGGCAACAGCATTTTGATTCTTCGGCTTCTTGGATTGGCGACCCTCTTGCTTCTCCGCCTTTCTCGTAGGAGAAGGTGCCAATCTCCCAAATGGCTGCGGAGCATGGATGAAACTTCCGGACACCTTGACCTCTGTCTCGGCCAAGAGCTCTTCGTCCGAGACCATGTCCTCCAGCTCGTCCTGCGGCAAAGGGTACAAATCTTCTGCTACAGCTAGCGGCACTTCTTCCTGGTCGCCAAACTGAGACAGCGCTGAGCGTCGTACTGCATCCTGCAGTTCCCTCAACTTGTCCTTCTTCAACTGCAGCTCCTTGATAGCTTCGGCCCTTTGCTCCTTGTATGCAGCCTGCTCTCGCACATATGCTGCTTGGATCGTCTTTGCAAAATGCAACCAATCCTTGTCTATTTTGGCAACATCCTCTTTGGCTTTGAGGTATTGCTTCTTTGCCTGTGAGATCTTGTTCAAGTCTCCATGAGTAATTTCTGCTTTGGCTGGCTGAGCCAACTGACTTGCTGCCGACTCCAAGATCTTCGCCTCGATCTCCTGATTGTATGCAGGACCCAAGGTCTTCTTCACTTCTTCCACCTTGGCACGAACCTCGGCTGGGATCTCCGGTGGATCTGGTGGCTGTGGCAATTCTGGCGCTGGGGGCAAAGGTAGGTCCTCCCCCTGTGCCTCGACTGTTTCCACAGCGATTCTGGTCGACGGCGTGGTCTGCACCCACGGCACACCCGCGAGCTCTTTGCCCCCTTTCTTCCGACTGGAGAAGGGCGTGAGGCAGAGCACGTTCTCTTGACTCTCTTTGTCGTCTCCTTTCTTGGGCTTCTGCTTGTTCTCCTCGATCTTCCTCTTCCTGGACTTGGAGCGCGATTGAGTATGAAGCACTGTCTGCCACCATGAATGACATGAATGGCAGTACAACACACTCATGGGTGTTGTTACCCAACACTTCCGGCACATCCACTGCTTTTGACTCATCGTTGCAGGAGGCATGGACCCGTGATGCCGATGCAGGATGCTTTGATAGGTTGCAATCTTTTTGCGCACCTTCTTTCCAGCACTCCTGTTCTTGAACCTCCGCAAAAAAAGCGCGCGCCCTCTGTCGCCTCCTCCGGCGATTCCGATGCCACGCGGCTTCCAGAGCCACTGTTATCCAGCAAAAGGCCAAGGAAAACAAAAGCCACCAACGCCAGGCCGCGTCCCATGAAACGCGTCCGGCTAGGGTGTCACACCTAAAGCGCGTGAAGGTGGGCAATCCTTCATACGCTCATGGAGCCCTGCTGCTTCCAACCTAGCAAAAACCTAAAATCCTGGGTGTTTTTCAATCAAATCCCAGGTGTTTCAAAAACCAACTCCACCCTCGCGGTCGTCTTTCAGGGTGGTCTTTCGGGCCGCATTGAGCGTGCCCCGGGTGACGTGTTCCCACATCGTTGCCCGTGGTCGGAGGCTTTGGGCCCAGCAAGGCCAAGTCCTGGGCGAACCTTCGCAAGGCGCAGGCGCACATGTGTTGAAGGAGTTCTTGGTGCTTTGGGATTGGGTGACAACCGTTGGTGTAGGTGGATTGTTTTCGGTGAGTTGGATTGGTCAAACTGCTGTTGATGGAGCGGGCTCATTGAAGAGCGAGCGGTCCAGCTCAGAATGCGTTCTACACTGACCGAGGCAGATGATGTCTGACCAAGACCCCACCAACCCCACCGTCCGGTCTCCGAAGATCTCTGGTGAGGCCTTGGAAAGCATCATCGCTGAGGCGGCCCAATGGATGGATCGCCGACGTGAGATCGAAAACATGTGGTTTTTGTTTAAGTTGAAGGAAACATGTTTTTCCTGGCTTTGCTTAAGGCTTTAAGGTGATGTCGTGTTCTTTTCCCGAACTGGGTAGATCCCCTTCTGGGGAACATGTTTTCTTTTTCCAGGTTCCTTAAGCAAGTCCAAGTTGGTTGTTCTTTTTCCCTCAGATATGATTGACTGGGGCTTTTAATATTCATGGTTTGAAGAAGTCTTTGAAGACTGCGACCGGGTTTAGCTGCAACAACACGTTTTCCAGGCTGGTCATGACGGCTGTCGCACAGTGGAAATGGTCTCGTTCAGAGTGACCTGGAAGTTGTAATGATCATGTTGGGTGGTTTTGGGATGGCCTGTGGTTTGCCATCTTGACTTGAGAAAACCCGTTCTTGGGCGCACTTGCCGTTGGGCTCCGTTGGGAGGGCGCAGCTAGGGCGCTTGGCCAAGACCGTGGCGGGTCAAAGATGCAGTCAACAGAACGACGCCCTTTTTTTCACTGAGAGGTGCCGAGACTCTTTTCAAAGCTTCAGTCCACCCCTACCGGAGACCCACCACTCAGAATAACCAGATACCTCAGTCCAGGTCCGCGACCTCGGCGGCGACGCGCCCATGAAGGGCGACGGCCATAGCGACCTGCCGCCGTGGCTCGGTCGAGTCCGAAGCAGAAGCTTCCCCTGCGATTCGCATCACCTGTAGTAACAAGAAGCTACTAGGAGGTCTTTGAAGCTAACATAGTAACAAGGACGCTGCCAGGGCCTGGGGGGCCTTACTAGTAGCAGGAAGTGGCCATTTTGGCTCAAGCCATAAAAGGAGATGCAGAGCCAAGAGGGTCCTGGCTATGTTTGCAGAAGACACTGTCACCATGGCCGGCAAGGGCCTCTTTTCGCTTGAGTCTGCGTGCAGATTCTCTCCTGCGTTGAAGCACAGGGCGGTTGACGCCATGCTGGACTCTGCATGGAAGATCAACGGGCTGAAGTTCCACAGCGTTTCGAAGGCATCAGAGTCGTGCAGAACGATGCCGCTGAACATGAACGACGAGGCACGCGCGTTGCAGGGAGCCATAGACAGGGCGATCCAAAGCAGATCGGGGTCAACATACGTCAGACCGTCGAGCGACCGGGAGTTCAGAACATTTGTGAAAGGAGATGGCAGCGGATCGGCGCGCAATTGCGGCACTGCACGCGCATGCGTCCACGGTCGTAGGCATGGTCTAAGCATCAGGAGCGCGTAGCGGCGTAGCGACCCGACTACCTCGTCTGCTGTTTGACATGCAGGCACGCGCGTGCGTGATTGGCAACGCGAAGCACGAGGACGCCGCGCCGCGATCATCCAGGGTTGCAGCCATCCTGCGCAGAGATGTTGGGCTGAACGCAGAGATGGACTCACCCATGAATGCAGCTGACCTGGCAAGCGCGCTCGAGGCTGGGTTGTCATCCCAGCTGTCTCACGAGGGCTGCTGCCTCATCATGGCTGCTGCAATACGGACGGACACAACGGTCAGGATGTCAGCTGTGAGGTTAACTCGGAACACGTGGGCATACGTAAGGTACGTCCAGGCTTCGTCAGCAGCGTCTGGCAAGCTCCCGCAAGGAGTGACAGCAAGGCAGCGTGCCGCACTCTGCGCCGACGTTTAGGGGCGGCAGGAGATCAGGGCCGGGGCTCGGGTTCGTGCCAGCGACTGGGACAACTCGCGCCGGGCAGCTGCAAACAGGTTGGCGAAGACGACCTACGGATCTGCCACTCGATGGGTCAGACACGCACGCAGGTCATACCTTGCATGCCTCGCCATGGGAGGTGGGGCTGACTTCGAGTCGCTGCTGTCAAAGCACCGCAGCCTTGTTGCGGAGGACGCAGAGAAGATGGCATCGAACCTGTATGGCGATGAGGATGAGGAAGAGGACAGTGACGACGGCGCCCGCGGCGATGACGACGGGTCCATCAGTCATCAGTGAGGATGCTGACATAATCCCACCCCTATTCGAGAGCGCCGCTGTGCAGATCACTTTGATGACTGGAGGCAGACTGACTACAGAGAAGGTTGCAAGCCACTGCAAGAAGTGCGACGCACGCAGACGATCGCAGTTTGGCTGGATGGAGGTGATGCGGAGGACAGCCATGGACATGAGTGCGCTCGACTCATACATGAGCAGCACGGTCAGGGGCTCCAGACCTCTGAAGCAACTTTTCGGCGCAGACTCAGTGGTATATGCGTATGAACACTGCTTCATCCGATACGGTGGCCAGCTGGCAGTGTTCGACCAGGAAGAGATGCGAATACTCGGCACATGCCTGGCTCGTCCAGGTGCTGTCAAGCTGGCCATGGCATACGACGCAACGCCTGGGACAGACATGGCTCACGCCCTCCTGTTCGTCCACGCACCGCGCGCATCGGTGACGATGGATATGGGCGACGCCAACTACCTGCCATCCAGGTTCAAGGCTGCATTCGGCTGGGCTGCGCTCAGGGCACTAGACGGGCACAAGATAGACCGACAATGCTGCGATATACTGTGGAACGATGTCCAGACAAAGCCAGGCACATTTCCAGAGCTCACGTCGTTCTGCCGGTTCTTTGACATGGATCAACATCACACCTGAAGCAGCAGGCGACGCCATCAGGTCCGAGCTGCTGGGATACCTGCGGATGGCGCGCATATATGGACAGGTCTTGCACACTGATGAAGGCTCCTGCTAAAAGAGAACAGCAAACTTTGGTCAAGATTTTGAAGTTGGTTGCAAGTGGCTTCAGATAACTGCCCAAGTTTCCAGGAGATGTTTCTCGAAATTGATCGCAATGATGTTGAGGCTGTCTTGGAACAGCTGTTGATTTATCTCTGTTCATGACTATACCCATGTAATGTAGTCAACAAACCTCAAACTAGTTCAAAGACCTAGTCTCATAGCCTCATGTGCACTCAAAGTGGCCCAAAGACTGTGCTCAAAAGTGCTCAAAATTGCTCAGGGGCTTTGCTCAAATCTGCTTTTATGAAACATGCGTTAATGATTACCTACTAACAAACCCATAGGATCTAATGTTCCCCTTGTGAGTTACACCTCTTAACCTTGCTGTTCCTTTGAAGGATTTGAGGTGAATCCCTTCAAATCCTAAACTGCACGTGTCTCTCTTGGATCTTTTGAAAGATTGGCAACAAATCCTGTCAACTCTCTACTCCAAAGATGCCAAACTTTTTTAAAACATCAAGGACGGGCTAAACAACTGGTTCTGAGCGAAAGCAAAAAGAAACACTTGAGCCTGAGCATGACGTGGACATAAAAAGTATTGTAGATCCAACATGCAACATGGAATCACCCAAAGCCTGTGAAGAAATAAGCATCTAATTTTAACACAATAAAATATTTAACTTACGTAGGTCTATTTCATTTTTAATTGAAATTGAAAACAATAAACATATTTTCCTTGATGAAAAAACTACCAAAAGGAAAGGAACAGGAAAAGGACAATGAAAAGGAAAGGAAAAGGAAAAGGAAAAGAAAAGGAAAAGGACAAGGAAAACGAAAAGGAAAGGAAAAGGAACAGGAAAAAAAAGACGTTCCTTTTCCCTCCCCTGAATCCTGAAAGGATTGGCCAAGGTCTTTGATAAAAATGTTTCACTCCTTCAAAGGATGCCACACAGCATGGGGTGCATTGACTCTATTCCTTTTAGTGTTTATTTGGGATATACTTGAAGGCCTCATGGCATGACATCAGAAAATCCTGTGAAAAATGCACTTTTTTCACAGCCTGTGAAAAAATTGGTGTCCTTTTACTTTAAAAGGAAAACAGCTTGTTCACATCCCGTGAAAAGAATCACGTTTTCACAGGATTTTCACAGGGTTATTGTTTCCAAAAAGAATTGTATGGCAAGTGTCCGATTCCTGAATCATTTAAAAGGTACATAAAACAGTTTGGTTTGTCTACTGCCAAACTCTCTCTCAAAACCATGGTCTTGATCAAATTTGATCAGATTTGATCAGGTTGCATTTTGTGTAAAACCTTAAAGTGTTGGCAACAGTTTTAGTCATTAGATGTTGTTTCCTTTCCCTCACCCAAAAAGTTATTTTTAGTCATTTGGTTTTGTTTCCTTACTTTCCTTCACCCCAAAAAATATGGCCACTGTTTTTGTCATAAGATGTTGTTTCCTCAACTCTCCTCACCAAATTTGTTTTGCCTACAGCTTTAGTCATTAGAAGTTGCTTCCTTAATTTCCCTCACCCCAAAAAGATTGTCCAAAGCTTTAGTCATTAGATGTTGTTTCCTTTCTCTGACCCAAAAATTTTGTCTACAGTTTTAGTCATTAGATGTTGTTTCCTGAACTCTCCTCACCAAAAAGTTTTGACCACAGTTTTAGTCATTAGATTTTGTTTCCTTACTTTCCTTCACCGCAAAAAGTGTTGGCCACAGTTTTAGTCATTAGATTTTGTTTCCTCAGCTCTCCTCACCAAAAATTTTGTCCACAGTTTTAGTCATTAGATGTTGTTTCCTCAACTCTCCTCACCAAAAAGTTTTGTCCACAGTTTTAGTCATTAAATTTTGTTTCCTCACTGTCCTTCACCCAAAAAATGTCCTTTTCCTTTTCATGTTCCTTTTCCTTTTCCTTTTTCCCTTCCTTTTCCTCTTCCTTATCCTTTTCCTTTTCCTCTTCCTTTTCCTTTTCTTGTTCATTTTTAACTTTTCTCTTCCTCTTGCTTTTCCTTTTTTCTTTTCCTTTTCCTTTTCGTCTTCCTCTTTCTTTTCTTTTTTCCTTGTCCTCTTCCTCTTCCTTTTCCTTGTCCTTTTCCTGTTTCCTTTTTTCCCGAAAGCATTGCGAAGGGTTCTTCCGGAAAACCCCTTGAACACTGACACGTCGACACTTACACTTACACACTGGCACTTCCACCACACTTGCAGTACACACATGAACGCTATACGTACCCCAGTGTAAGTGGAAGAGCGAAAGCATCCAAGTGCAAAGTATGCAAGTGTCAAAAGTATGCAAGTGTAAGTATGCAAGTGTAATGATGCAAGTGCAATGAGTATGCAAGCATGCAATGAGTATGCAAGCATGCAATGAGTAGGCAAGTGTGAGCATGGAAAACTAGCACGGGAGATGTCCTAATGAAAAAACATTTCCCCACTTTGTAAATTCTCTCTTAAAGGCGGAGGGTGGGACGAACAGCGTCAACCAAAAGTGTAACCCTCTGCGGAGATCGTGCGTGTCCAGTGCACGAAATGCAGGCGAGAGTGCGATTGGTGCGGTGCGCGCGCAACCCTCTGCGGAGATCGTGCGTGTCGAGTGCGCGAAATGCAGGCGAGAGTGCGATTTGCAGGCTGCCCGCGCAACCCTCTGCGGAGATCGTGCGTGTCGAGTGCGCGAACTGCGTGCGAGAGTGCGATT